GTGTTCACCTGAAGGCCTATCATCTCTGGATGCTTCTTCTGCCAGCTTGTTGCTTTTCACTTGCATATCTTTCAGTTTGTGGGAAATCAGATATATGTCATTGGCGAAGTCCATATCCTCCAAGTTTTTTGTGTGAGTCCATTTTATGCCTGTCTCTTCGCTAGCCGTTGTCTGTCTGTCGCATTATCCAGTCTACCGCACTCAGGAAAATCACTGGAGATATTAGGCAGCCAGCCAGCTTTGTCTTGCTCCCATCGTCACTTCGAAGGATTCCGTGAGTCTTCCGTTGTGGATTACTTGGCATGCAGCATTGTCTTACAACTGCTGGATGAGGTGGATAATTGTTGGTGGCACTCCATATTGGCGAAGTAGTTTCCAAATCACCTCTCGATCGACGCTGTCTGCTGAAGGCCTTTTCAAAGTCGATGAAGTTGAGATAGAGAGGTGACTGCCATTCCAAGCTCTGTTCAATGATGATCCGTAGTGTGGCGATTTGATCAATGCATGACTTGTCCCTCCTGAATCCAGTCTGTCCCGAACGAAGTTATACATCAAGGGGTGTGTGTTCGACTTTCTCCAGGATGATGCGGTTTAGTATTTCGCTTGAGATAAACAGGAGCACAATGACGCGTGTATTCTTGCATTGGCTTGAGCCTCCTTTCTTTGGCCTTCTTCTAATCCTCGGGTACCTTGCTGTCTTTCCACACGTTCTCCAGTGGTGGTGTCATCAAGTTTGCTGATGTTTCTAGATTCATTTTAAATGCTTCCGCTGGGACTGTGTCTGGTCCTGCTGCTTTTCCAGTTTTTAGCATCTTGATCTTTTTCAGGATTTCTGTTTTTGTCGGAGGGTTGAGGTTCACTGGTAGTTCTGATTCCGTTGTTGGTATTATTGGGTGCGTTGTAGGTGGCCATCGATTTAGGAGTCTATTGAAGTGTTCAGCCCAGTGTTTCCTTCGCTCCACCTCTTCGGTGATTGACTTTCCATTGTCATCCTTGACTGGCTTAATCTGTGTCGAACTTTTCCCCGATAGGTTCCTAGTTGTTTGGTAGAGTGTGGAGAGGTCTCCTTTGCCTGCACTGAAGCCTGTTCTGCTTCACTTCCCATGGCTTCATAATATTTTCTCTTGTCTTCCATGGCACTCTTCTTCACTCTTTTGTTCAGTGTATTGTAGCTTGCATTCAACTCCTGTCTTTGTTGCTCGTCGGTGCACTGAATAATCTTTTGTTTCACCATCTTTCTCTCTTCTTTTAGTTTCCAAGTGTCTGCAGTGAGCCACTGTTTGTCCTGTCTCTTCTTTCTGCCTAGAACGTTCATGCAGGTTTGACTCCACACCGTTTTCAAGTTGTCCCAGTGCTTTTCGACACCGACCTCTTCCCTAGTGTTGATTTGTGTCTCGGCTCTGTCCTTTATGCTTGCAATGAAGATGTCCTTTGTAGCCTGGTCCTTTCAGCTTTTGAGTGTTGAACTTGGCTTGTGGTCTATCTGCAGCTCCTGATTCCCTGAAAGCTTTTAATTTGATTTGGATTGTCCCTTGTACGAGATAGTGGTCTGAGCCAACGTCTGCTCCTCTTCTTGCTTTTGTGTCCAGTAGGCTGTGCCTCCACTTCCTTGAGCAGCATTGAGATGAAGTCGATTCGGTTTTTCGTTTGCCCGTCTGGTGACACCCATGTAGCCTTGTGGATATCTTTGTTCTTGTATACACTGCCACCAATCACTAGTTCGTTGAAGGCGCAGAAGTCGGCGAAGAGTTCTCCATTTTCATTCATTTCTCCGAGAGCTTCTCTACCCATGATGAGTTCCCTTCCTGAGTTGTCTGGTCCCAGTTTGGCGTTCATGTCTCCCATTAGTATTTTCATGTCGCCAGCTGCAGTATTGTCCGTTGTTGCCTGTAGTTGTCTGTAGAATTCTTCTTTCTTTTCGAGGTCTTCGTCGTTTGTGGGTGCATAACATTGTATGATTGACACTTTCCTTCCTTTGGAGTTGAATCTGGCGGTCATTATCCTGGACGAGATTGTCTCCCATTGCATTAGGGCCTTTGTTGCCGTTGGTGACATCATAATAGCCACGCCCTCAGTGTGCGTGTAGTTATCTTCTGGGTGACCGAAGTAGGTCACTGAATCACCCGATGACAATTTGATGAGTCCACCCCCATTCCATCTGCTTTTACATATTCCCAGTACTTGAATTCCGTATCTTTTCATCTCGTTTGCGATCTGGGCAGCTTTGCCAATCTCGTACATAGTGCGGACGTTCCATGTCCGCACAAAGACTTTTTCTTTTGGCGCAAAGAGATTCATCGTGCTGAAGTTTCTGTAGCAACTTTGTTTACAGAGTGGGGTTGCCAGCCTCACGCCTGTTATAAAGGATTAGCAGCAAGGAAATCTGAGAACGAACCAATAAGGAACCTATCGCCCAATGCACAAGCTGAAGAGAATGCAAATGAATGAGACATACACTCAAGAGGCCGTTAGGTGACATCGTGAGCTATAGGCTCGAGTGGAACCCTAGTGGGAAACGACCACTTGAACATCCCAGGGTGACATGGAGACCGTGTGAGGAAGAGACGAAAGCTTATGAGCAATCGCAGAACCAGTTAAAGATGACTGTAGAGAACACGATAAAATGAAGATGTCAAAACCCTATGTTCCACTCGGAACGTAAGGGAATAATTTTAATAATATAGGCGGGACAGACTACACGAACAAGTTCAATGAACACATTCATATAGGTCCACATAAGATTAAGAAATCTGTAGATAGGATTGTGAATAAGATCGAGAAATTTACAACCGATCTAGTGGAAAAGGCTGTAGATAACCGAATGCAATGGAGATAGGCTGTTGAGGCCCTGTGTTACACTTGGGAGTTAAGAGAATAATAAAAATGGTATAATAGGGAAACAAGTTGTAAAGGAAAAATGATTGGTGAGACAACATCAGAGAAAGGCGATCCCTCTATTAGCCTCAGGATAGATAACTGGAATCGTGGAGGCAACATCTCAAAGAGCGATTTATCTGGAACTCAGCCACACATAACTTCCCTAGCATCCAACACCTGTCTGGATGGGATAAAGACTTCAATTCTCCATCTGAAACTGAGGCTAAAAAAGCTGTCTTTAGTTTGAAATGAGGCAGGTGTTTATAACAATCACTGTGAACTTTTGACTGGGTTAACTAAGATACAGGGTGATGTCTGAGTATCAAAGGAAGTCCCATTGGACTGGCGTAAGTAAGTGATTATCGCTGTTTATAAGAAAGACAGGTCTTGTGATAGCCATGCGGAAATAAGCTTGATTATTATAGTATCTAAGGCTCAAGTTTCAATAATCACGCATAAACTAAGTGATGTACAGGAAAAATAAACCCCGAGAAAACCAGCCAGGAGATTACATTGATTATATTTTCACCCTCCTACAGATTCTGGAAGATAAGTATACTTACTGGCGTTCAACAATTGACGTATTTCTTGATCTAAACACGGCACTTGACTCCGCCGACCGAGAAGTGCTGTAGCGATTGTCGGCTATGAAAATATATCGCGCTAATCAAGGCACTTTACTTGAACTTAGGTAGCCAAGTAGGGGCTTACAGAAAGTTGTTATCAGAAGTGATAACAACCAGTAGTGTACGTCAGGGATTCCCACTGTCCCCATTCTAGTTTACTTTCATCATAGATATATTGTGAAAATGACCCTAACTGACTTTAGCGACATGGAGATTAGCTTTTTACTACGGAACAGTCTTATAGATCTAGAGTAAGCGGATGATACTATCCTCCTTGGTGAAGAAGGTGACAAAATGCAGAACCTTTTAAACACCTTACACAGAAATCTTCGAATGTTTGGTATACTATTGGAACCTTTCAAATGTGAGATGACGCTGTAGGACTGGACTGCACCGACTCCTAGCTTAAAGATAGGCAGTGAAGTGGTTGAGCGTGTTGACAAATTCAATTATTTAGGGAAGTTGTATCAGTTTCAATGGACTGCTTGTTGACCGAATCTCAGCACGGATATACAAGTCTGGGGTGTTCAGACTGTAGTCAATGGCATGAATTTCGACCTCTGAACTTACCCTACGCAGTTTCAGTATCACCATCCTTCAACTAATCTTGTGTAGGGTGAATAGGCGTCGAAACAAAATAGGTTCAATGCAGTTCAACTGATCATTGTGAAAAAGAGGCAAATGTATACAGTATGGAAAGTCTGTAGCTATTTGATTCCAGGTGAAATCGTCACATTATAATAACTACCATATATGAAACAGGCATAACTGTAATAAGAAACAACACAACAACTATTTTATCTACTATTAAATATTTGAAAATGATAAGGATGCTTTCTCGAATAACAATTTGAGTTCATAAGTTTACAAATACATCACATCATGAGGAAAAGTTCTTCCTGTTTAAAAAAAAGACACCAAAAAACGAACTAATTTAAAATTTTTAACAGATTATCATTCTGATGATGATACTTGACGAAATACAATGTTATTAGTAGTTATGATTTCAACAAAAAATATATTGTAATCATATCCATAGCTAATCTAAAATGTAACATTGTTTCGTCGCTACAGTAGGTAGAAAGAGAGAAGACAATGAGTTGAAAGGCGGCGGTTACAGCACAAAAGAGAAAAGTTTTTTACAGTAAGTATTCAAATATGTCCACTATGAAAAATGACTGATAATTGAGTAGTAAACAACAAAAATATTTGATGATTATGCCGGAGTCAGTAGCATCACTATCTTACAGGTAAACAAAAAAGATTAATAAAAACAGTGGTGAATTCTGAAAGACATGTAAACCTGAAAGATTATAAATAGTCTACAAAATAAGAGGACAAGTTTCTATGGTAACATGTACATACATATATGCATTATATTAAGCAGCCCCCCACCCCAACCCTCCCGTAACCGACATCCCTTTTAATCTAGAAGATATATAAATATATAAATCAGAAAAAAAATACAGAAAGAAAGATGCAAACAATTCTTTTTATCTATTCATCCACAGCATCACTTGAGTAACCTCGACGGTTAGATTTTTGAGATGAAGGGCTAGACTCTGTTGGTTTATTAATCTCACTTTCATTTTCTCTTGGTAGATCAGTTCGAGTATTATTATTATTATCGTTAGTAATAAATGCGTCTTGATCACCTTTCACATCATCTAATACAATTTTCGAACTCGAATTCGATAGACGTCTAGATATAAGTATAATCTTGTTTTTATTTCCTGCATCACTTATTTTATGCAAAGAATTAGGCAATGTCGTAGACTGAGAAACCTCTTGATTCAATCCGCCAGTAGATGATGTAAAATCAGATAATGGATTAGGTTTAATAACAGATTCAGTTGAAGTAATGGTAGTAGTTATCGATGATGGCATCATCGGTGTCATTGTTACTGAGTTGTTTGAACCAGCTAGACAAACTAGTGGTACTGGCCCATCAATCCCATTCCTATCACGAAATCGACGAAAAGCGTTTCCATGACCTCGGAAATCCATTAGAAAATCACCTTATTGAAGGGAAAATAATAAACCAAACATAAGTATAAAACTTGGGCACTATGGTAGAGTATAACTCCATTATGGATAAGATTTTATTTTGATTAAGTCACAAAGTGTTATACAGTAATATTAACTGATGACCGCGTTTCGAGTACACACTATTGCTAGAAACGTCATCAGTTAATATTACTGTATAACACTGTGAGAATTAATCAAAATAAAATTTTATCTACAGTGAAATAAACCAAACAGTTTTAATTAAAATAATGAACATGCATACGCACACAAATTTGCATTTCTGATAGGCACTGATAAGTGTCTACAGTAAGCATATACGAAACCAATAATTCGTCAGCTGTTTAGTAGTATGTCAAATCTTTAAAACACCATGCTACACAGCTTTTAGAAGAAAAATAAGTAGCTGAATAAAGTAGCTAGTGAAAACAGTTGACATAATTCCTACATTTATTTAGGCAAACTATAATGCATTTCGCATCACGTTTCATGACAATCGATCCAATCGGTAAAATATAATACTTACACGATCTTATAATGAGCTGATATCGGCTAGAGAACCATTGAAAAACCTGCAGGGAGTACTGAACAGCCGTTCTGTCCTACTTTGGGACTATTCATCAGTAGACAACCAACAGGGTTCCAATCCAGGAACCTTCCGGTTACAAGAGGAGCTCGTAGACCATTAAGACACTGGGATTCGATCCAATGGCCCATGATATCCAACTTCTGCAAATTCACGATATAGCGTGACTACTAGCCAATGTCATCGGCGAGTATTTGTCCTCACACCCGACCTGCTGTACCTCATTGGTCACGAAATTCCCGCTAGAACCCAGGTAACTATCTACCTGAATATGACTAGTCACCAGTGAGCATCAGATTGATATTTAATTTTTGGTTCTCTAACCGATGTCAGTTCATGATGAAATCCCGTAACCAATCAATCAAATCCCTGCAAACCAACACTTGAAAAGATAGGAGTGTTTTCTATTGGGATTGTGGTGATGGTTTTCCAGCATGTAAGGATATTGTACGTTCAATGCCATCATCAAGAGGATAAACCATTATTTTTAACGCATAAAACGAATGAATTCATCAACAAAAAGAATGAAAGATACGCAAATATATGTAGATTTATGCAGCCAGCTATAAGCTAAGTTAATAATGATCTACTTCGATTATCACACAAATAAGTGTTACTTCGAGTTTCCATGCATATTATTCCGCAGAAAGGGTAATTTTACTGGGGAATTTCCTACTTCATGTCCGGATTGTGATGTGATTTCATCGAATACAAACTGTCCTAGCAGTTACATACCAGTCATTAACTCGCAATATCTCTGCGACTTAAGGTGCTTAAGCAGACCTGTTATTACCAGTATACATTCTGAATATCTCGATTGTTTCAATTCCATAGGTTTATTATTGATGGAAGGGACCCCAAATTATAGAATTAATATAGTATAAAAATGTGAACGGAATAAGCATCATTCACCTAGTGAAAAAGTTGACTAGGCAATCATATGACTGTGATCGTTCCCACTTTAAAATTTCATCTCAATTCTAATTGATATGTGTGTAAAACTTGGACAATACGGTAGTATGCATGCAATTCATAATCATATTAACTTTTGTGATCATGGACAGTAAATTCCTGTTCACAATGTCTTCCAGTAAATAATACTGTCTTATTACTAATGTGTGAGATATCCGATAAACAAAAATTATCACGGAATTCATCTCAATTCTCCTAATAGAAAAAAAAAACTGCATACAATGTTTCAAATCTTTTGAATTAAGCGTTGTCACAGAAGAAACTATATTAAATCTCATGCATTCATCAATTATTTATTCAATTCAGATATTACATTCAAGTTTGCAGTTTTTCCTATTCGTTGATATGACAACCAGTTTAGAAGTTAATAAAGGTAACGACTAAAAAAAATAATTGGTAAAAAAATTTTGTTTTCAAGAGTTGGTTTGTAAGGATTAGATTTGTCTTTTTACGAGTTGACCATGGATTAATGTCAGTTAGAGAACTATTGAAAACCAGGGAGTACTTGACAGCTTTTTCATCCTAGTTTGAGACAGAGTTTCCAAGAGTTCTAGTGAGAAGTCATAACCAGTGAGGTTCAACCAGTTAAGAGCGAGGATGGATTTCCAACCAATGACATTGGTTGGTGATCTCGCTAAACCATTAACTGGTAGAAGTTACAATTCATGAGCCATTGAATCGGGTCCCAGTGGCTGAATGGTCGTCAGCTTGCCTTGTAGCCGGAAGGTCCTGGGTATAAATCACCTGGAGGGTGGGTGCGTACTGCCTATGATTCCCAAACTAGGATGAAACAGCTGTCCAGTACTCCCAGTTGGTTTTCAATGGTTCTCTAACTGATATCAATCCGTGGTCAAAGTTGTAAAAATAAAATTTTGTATTTATGGCTGATAGAAACTAATAAATAGGAGTAAAAATAAAACAAAACCTTCTAAAAGCAACAAGAAGACAACACAGGGTGGTAGTTACTTCCATCCTGTACAACTACATTTCTTATTGAATTTCTGACCATAAATACAAACCACATTTTCCAAATACTTACTATAATATTTCCTATACCTTTATATTACTGATTATCTTAAAGTGGATGTCGTTTTCAAAAGACAAGGAAAAAAACAGGAATACTTTGCATATTTACTGAAATAAATTAGTTTTAGAGAAAAGCATGCAGATGTTTACAATTGTCACGCTAGTTGTCAGCCTGCCTACTGCAATAAATACTAAAAGCTCATTTAAGTGATCAAGTGAGAATTTTCCCACTTATAAAAGAGAAAAAGCTTAAGCCACAAGAAATTAATGATCGTAAAGTTTGATTGTGTAAATGAACCAAAAATCTTTACACAACGGTCACAAGCATACCTAGAAAGTGTTATGTATATATATATATATATATATAAGTGAGAAGAGTAAAATCATCGTAAATATGTGCAAGATAATCCAAATATAACGAGCACGACAAGAATAATTAAAGTCACTGTGATTACTTCAGCAATTATATGATCAAGCGAACAACCACACGAAATTTAGAAACTCAAGTTTATAAAGAAAATCAACTCACACAGACCAAATACTCAATTTACAACAGCAACAATCTAATAACACACAAAAAGAGTTGTATATAAACAGTATTCAAGACAGTCAGTCAAAACTCATTGCAGCACTCTCAGAAATCACTGCAAAACTCTTCCTTTAGGAACTGACATCGCGCAAAAAGCAACAAAATCACTTCACTCAGTTCTATGTCAACCAAAAGACTCAACAACGAAAGAAGATAAAACCAACATCATCTACAAAATAAATTGTAACAACTGCGAAAAACACTACATTGGCCAAAGTGGACGTCCTCTTCGTCTTCGTAATCACAAACATAAGCTAGGCGTCAAAAGAAATGACATCTACTCACTCACATCACTGCATACAGACAACTACGGACACCAATTCGACTGGGACAACGTTCAAATATTAGGCAGAGGAAACACCAAGAATGCTAGAGAATTTTTAGAAGCTTGGCATTTCAGTGAATCATCAATCAATAGACAAACCGAGAAAGACAAAATTTACCAATCGATAAGAAAGAAATCTCATACAGAAAGCGTCAAACTTCAGTTCGAGGAAACAATCAGTTCCAATGCAAGTAGTCTAGGGGGTGTGAAAATACACAAGAACAACCAGTCACGTTCAAGCTCACCAGGAGAGATGACTAATAAATTCGTGGGGAAATCTAAAAGCTCACTTCAAATTGAAGTATGCACTGAAAATGTTGCCTAGTAGGGCAATGAAAGCTTCGCGAATATACCACCCAGCTCAGAGAACACAACTACGTTAAAACGGTCATCACCTTATGACTATGAGTGGGGGAATCAGATACCACCTACTGATGACGCTAATCAGTGACGTTGGCCAGCTGGTTAAAGTTCATCAACAGTTCACTTGAACCAATTTAGTCTAAAACGCAAAACTAGGCAAACAATTCTATTTGTTGGAAAAAGAAGTGTGGAAATTAGAACTTAATAATAATTAGTGTTCAAATTATCATACCTGAACGTACACTACCACTACTATTATTGTTATTATCACTGCCTTCTTTATTAATATGATGTTGCGTTTGTCCAGGTGACTGTCCAGACATTGTTACAGAACCAACACGCCTACTATTGAGTGAATTATTTACACATGAATTTGAAGAATCAAGACGACTACCGGTAACCAAATTTTTGTTACTCCCACCAGCAGTTGTATTACTAATCAAGAATTTCTCCCGTATAAACTGAGGCGGAAAATCCAATAAACTGTAGACAATTTAAAGGAGAAACAGAAACAGGAAATTTGATCAGTTATTACATATAGAGCAATAAAATACAACTCCTTTTGAAGAAAAGAAAACAACAATTCCTAATCAATCTTTGATTATCTTGAAAATTTATTATTTTAAGAAGTCAATATATCCTCATATCCATTAAACCCTAATGGTTCTTTTGCCTTTTGTTATTCTTTCACCCTCACATGTCTGCTTATTATGGTACGTTTGATGTCGGAACTCAGTTAATCAGACAGCCACTGAGAATCAGAATGAATTTCGTTACTAAATCAGTTTAAATGACTACCTGTCAAATGCCCCAACTGTGAATTAGTCAGGCTTTTCACAAGCCGGATTGGATACCACAGTCTCTGGTGTGTGCTTTATAGGTCATACACCAATAATTCTTGCAAATTATACAGCTTTTAAGCTTTTATTTTTAGTGTTTGTCATCTTACACTGCCACATATCTCTCAACAACGTGAACGTTTGAAAACCGTGCGCAAAATAACTAAGCATTCTTTATTATTTAGCATCAAACTTTTATATGATCCATTAAATCCCATTTTATCATGTGATAAGATCATTTCATCAAACATTTATTTTGTATGGAGGATTTAATCATCAAACCAAATCCCTACAAAACCAACACTTGAAACATTTATTTGAATAGAAACTTTGTTTTTGTTCATTCCAATTTTCCAGTAAGATTTAAGTATCATAATCACTAGCAACACTAGTGACACTGTACACGTATTTTCGCTTGTAAATATCACTTGGTTTTACATTCCATTAATAAAATCATTCTTATCATTTTATTCACTACAAACTTTTTCATTACATAATAATAAATCTCTATTTAAAGAATCAAATATCCGCTAAAGTAAAAACCAACAAACAACCATCATTAAAAGATATAACTCACGAGGCGATTTTTCGTAGTTTCGCCTGTTCAACAAGAGTTTTACCACGAGATAATAGTTGTCTGGCAGTCATACAGCGTATATGATCTTCAAAAAGAAACCTGGCAATCAAAATCGGAGGTTTACTATTGCGACGTAATTGTCCAGGACTGGAATCTTGAGACATGAGGTGTCCAGGAGCATGAATAGTCACGTGAAGACAGCGACTATCAGCTTGATCACAGTGGGACTCCAAATCCTATAAGAATCACAAGGTAAACTGGAAAATCAAACAAATTTGACTAAGTAAAACGTTAAAAACTAGGCTAATTGGAACCAGTCTTGCGGAGAGAAAAATCCGATGAAGAGTCATCCAAAATGGTGATATGTAAAACATTTTAGTCAGTTATCTTAATCAGGGCTTAGCTTAGCCAGTCAAATGGGAGGAAATCAGTATTGAATATTTGTGATCCGCATTAAGCCAATCGGTAAACATATATGAGCATTTTGACGTTCTGCAGCAAAAAATAAGTTTGAAGCACTGAACTTGGATATCATGGTTCTTAGCACTTATTACTTAAGAAAATATGGGATCCTGTAGAGACTGAACTTCTCGATAAATTGGCCTCAACAACATGCAGTCGATCAAAGTTTACCGAAATGATGAATCCCACAAGGATTGGTGACATCACCAAGGAAACTTAGTCCGTGTAATTCCATCAACAATTAGGTGCAAATAAAGTATTAAAAATCAAATTTTAAATAACCGTTAAGGGTTAGTTCGAATAGAAACCGTCAAAAAGAAAAGTATGAAGACAACTTCCCGAATTATTTTATTTCAGTCTACATATTATCAGGCAAATGCATTTAACTAGATAAGAAAAAGTTTAAAACCGGAAAACGGTTACCATAGGAAACAAGAACAATATCAATAAATTAATCTACAATTTTAAAACAAAACAACTGATAAGTTGTGGAGGTCATCTTTTGTACACATATTCATTCAATATAAGTAAAAAGAAAAGAAAACATTAGGACAACAAGTATTATGAGGCTATGATGACGATCCTGATCACTTTAATTTCACTCGTTAAAACTGAAATTTATACTGAGAAACAGAAAACATGTAATGCACAGAAGTCATACACATGGGGCTGTGTTAAAATCACAAGCACTTAAACATAATACGATTGAGTGATTGATTTGTCAAGATTATTAAACTGGTCTTAAAGTACTTTTCATCATGGATCAATCTCAGATAATACATATTGTTGAGTACTAGGAAGAATAGGTAAAATCCTTGCTTCATCCTACACTGAGACTACACATAGAAGAGAGTGCCAGTCTCATAATAGGCATAGTGTACACCTCAAATTACATTTCAATGTCTAACGCTACATATCCTCCATGAATTCTTGCCATATAACCGACCATTTCTCAATTAACACTGAACAACAATTCATTGTTCCCATTATGTTGATAGTCCATCAAAATAAACAAACAATCTTAATGCTGAATGACAATGGCTTAGATGTCAAAACATAAGTCCACCCATCAGCAGAATAATGAATAACATACGCACTACCACTATCCATACAGCTTGAATTATTACACATTTATGTCAACATACTTCCAAAGCACTTGTAAATTGTAGTAAAACAAAAGTGCAATTTGTGAATTATGTTTAAAGATCACCATGGGCAAAGAAACAACAAACCAACGCATCTATTCACTAAATTTAACTGACTTCGTAGTAGTGTAGATAGCTGAATAAAACATTAAAAATTCCTTGTTTATCGACCATAACTGCTAATACTATTTGTTATGTATCATTTCAGTTGTGCTCACTCAATGACTCTGTGGTATTTAATGGTGACCGATTTTTTCAAAGTTGGTGTCCGATTAAACGCTAAAACCGTAATTATTCGACTGATTTCCTTGCATTAGCAATCATTGAAGTTCTGTTTAGTGAGTGAATTTCGTAAGAGTTAAAAACTGATCATTCAAAGAGCCATACAATATTAGTCTCGTAGGGAGACTTCTGGTTTACAATGCTTCATCGCATGAAACACTGGTAATCTCCAGAAAATCCTGGATCTTCTTAGCTGACAATGTCCGGGATTTATGTGTTTGATCATTATCTATCAAACCAATATATAATGCATATCAGTTTAGGCATCTTAAAAATTAGAATATCTCGTCTATTTGTCAGGCTAAATATTTACTATTATCACCAAGCTACGTCACAGTAACTTGTTGGAGAGCTATAGCATAAAATGAACTTATCCAGTTATTTCCCATTTTCTTCCTCTGCTTAAGTTCTTCTGCGTTTAGTTTTTGAAGAAAATGAATATATTAGCAGGAAAAAAGAGCTCTTTTTTATTTGACAGCTTTTCTTCATCTACTAGTAATCTAAAAATATTTTTTTCAAGTATTGGTTTTGTAGGGATTGCGTTTGATTGGTAGTGTACAGCAGGTTGAAGGTGAGGCAGCAACTCATCGAAGAGGACATTGCGAAGTGGTCACGCTATGTCACAAATTGGCAGAAGTTAGGATACATGGGCTGGCCATTGGATCGGGTCCCAGTGGCCTAATGGTCTTCGAGCTCGTTAGCTTTGTAACCAGAAGGTCCCGGGTTAGAACTCCAGTGGGTGGACACAGATGAAGGGTCCCGAACTAGGACAAAATAGTTGTCCAGTACTTCCAGGTTTTCCAACTATTCTTTAACTGATGTCAGCTCATGATATGTTTTTATTTGCCTGACCCTTAGATGGGAGGAAGCAACAACGAGAATGAGAACAGAATCAAAGGTGCACTGAAAAGCACAATTTCCGCCCCCAGATTGGTTCCCCTTTATAAAATGAGTTGTTTATTAGTAGAGTCCAAATAATAGATAAATATCCTGCTCGTACAATGTCCAATCACACTTACCAACTCACATAAACTTGTGGTAGGAAGTATATAGAAAGGACCGAGAGGAGGGCATCTACTAAATGTTCTGAGCATATTCCCACCAATCTTCCTATGAAAGCAAATTATTCGCAAGTGAAATCGCAAAGCACCTAATTGACACAGGATACACAGCCGAAACCAATCAAACCTTCAAAACAATCAGTCAATATGTGCTACATGAAATGTGGCAACTTGAACAGTCGAAATTCTTTTCTAAATTCTCTGTTAAAACTGAGTTAGTTCGTTAGTCAATGCACACTCAGATGGAAACTGGAAACTACTGCCAAAATTAGTATACATGAAAATTCATTTACTACTATATTAAAATGTTTTATACCTATTTGCTACTTTAACTGGTGGCTTCAGTCAGAATGGTAATATATATGCAAAACCGTGAAAATTCTGAAAACAGTAATAAGCTTATCAACACAACCTACTTTTGAAATCAGATCATTCATGAGATTATTGCATGTGAAATTGTGATCATATTAATGAAAAATAATGCCGGATAACAACACGCCGCCGGACTATAAAGCGGCGGAAATAATAATGGAGCAGAGAAAAAACACAGTGAATTTAGCATGAGACTGAATTAGACTCAACGTTTTTTACTTCACGTCTCATTCACCACCATGCGGGAGAATTTTTCTGTCACTCATTACGAAAACACCTGATAAACTTGATGTTACTAGTATTTTGTGGGGGAAAAAAAGCTTTGTAATGTACAAAAATAATACTTGTGTGTGGCGTTTTAAAACTTTGTTTTTTAGACAAGGAAAGATACTTCTATGGTTGACTATTTGAAAACACCACCAACAACAGCAGCAACATCGAGCGCCAATCACTATGAACGGGAGGGATTTGAAAGAGGTTACTTCATTCACTTATCTAGGGAGCATTGTCTCAACTACAGCAGGAACGGACGAGGATGTCAAATCGAGCGAGAATCGGGAAGGCGAGAAACACATTCACTCATCAATCTGAAACCAATCTGGAAGGAAATCTTCGTCACTCAGCCAGCATCAACAACAAAATTCGATCGGATTTTCAATACAAACGTCAAGTCAGTCAGTTCTTCTATACGGACCAGGAACTTGGCGGGCGGATGACAAAGAATATTTCCAACAGCCTGTTGCAGACCTTTATTAACAACTGTCTTCGCTCTATATTGAAGATCAGATGGTCGGGCCGGAAAGAATCACCAACAAGGAACTATGGGAACAAGCAAACAAAGTAAGAACCAATCGCCCAACAAATATGGAGGATAAAGTGGAGATGGATCGGACACTCGCTGAGGAGGCCGGTTGGTAACATCGCGCGTAAAGCACTGGAGTGGAACCCGAAAGGGAAGAGGCGAGTGGGACGTCAGTGCAAGGGTGACATGGAGGAGATCGTGTGAAGAGGAGTTGAAACGGTATGGACTAACATGGATGCAGGTGAAAAGTACAGCAGAAGACAGAAGCAAATGGAGACGTGCAGTTGAAGCCCTATGCTCCATTAGGAACCCAAGGGAACAATAATAATAAATTTGAAAATACAACCAGAGAGAATCAACACACCAGAAGACATTTAAAAGGGGGGAGGGATGGGAATAACACATTTCAATGACAAGAGCAGTCAATCAAACAATGACACTCAAAAGAGACCACCACTTTTGTGCGTAATTAATCAGCAATAAGTAAGAAAACTGAAAACTTATTTTTCAAAATTACACATTTACTTGTAGTGGTCCAATGAATGTTATTACACCCCAACCGAGTTGTTTTGAATCTGGTTCTACGAGAACCAACTGTTGACCACAACTGACTATAAAACGTTTTTCATGACTACAGAAAGAAAATTAGAAATGACTGTAAGAAAAACATGAAATGAACGTGTACATAGAGATAAAAAGGATAACATTCAGTTTCAATATAATTAGCTAGCAGTGTCTGTATAATCCACGTAAACAATGGTGTTTTCAATTATATTGCCTACACAATTATCTATTAAACATGGGAACACTGAACTGAAAACAATAATATCAGCCTAAATGCCCTAATCCAGTTTAAGAATAAAAGCCTTTAGATCTCATCAGCTATAGGTTTACTGTGTAAGGATTTTGAATACTAACTGATTTTGAAAAACTTCAATCACAGTGTCTTCAAAAACCTAAACAGAAAACTAATATCGCTGCCCGGTTGTAATAATTACTCCTTCATACAATTAATGAGCAAATAGTCCAATATGTCACAAATAAATTGTACTTGAATAGGTAATAATCCTTATGTTTTAGAATCCTAGAAATTGTCACAATATGCATTTATGACCGTGAAGTGCAAAGGATAACACACTAGATGATATGAGATAGAGACAGGGTGAAAATTAAAATGGTCACTGGCTGCACTCAACTACCATCATCCTTAAATAACGTTTTTCCCCAGTCAACCCTATCAACGGAAAGCTTCTCACACGACAAATGTACATATATACATAACTATATGAATATCCAGACCATAGTCATATATATAAGAATTTATTGAGACTGCTCTGCTTGATGTGATTGACTGAAGTGAACAGTAAATTTCCAAAGTGCAACATTTACATTTTCCTAATATCACGATAGTATATTCAGTTTGTTTTACCAAATGCTTTTTTTATCTTTGCATACAAACGTAATTATCATTATGTTATCCTGTAGTATCATTCTGCGCTTCTCTTTAGTGAACAACAATCACAAAATACTACAAAGTTAATACACATATCTACACAGAATAGCCTGTAGTACAATAATTGTTCATAATCATCGGAGAACAATTATTACTTTTTCATTATTCTTCATGTCAATCTGTAATTAGTCTAAAAAAAAGTCTCTTTGCCATATACTATGTATCAACCAACAAATTATAATAATTACTTTTAATTATTATGTAGAAATAAATATTAATATTAAATGAAAATCTTCACTGAATGCAAACTAATTTAATTTTTTTTTCATAATTTGTTGTATACACACATACATTGAATAATGAAATTATGCTAGTGTTATACAACAGAAAAAGAGTATTTCGGCATCAAAGTGACCAAATAAAGTTATAAATACGACTTTAGGAACTTACATGCCAGATCTTTCAACTGTACACCCAATTAACGTTTCAGAAGCTAAAAATAATAGAAAAAGGTCGAAAATAATACCCAACGTAGATACACACACTGAAACAAAGCGGTATTAGCGAATCACAACACAATCTATGCCAATAGATTTGCAGGAAATCAATAACTAAAGGAAAATATGATGTGTGTTTTACCTGCGAAAATTGTAGGATAATGATGGTGTACACTGGAATAACATCATAAGGAAGGAGTTAATTCCTTCGTTTGAAAATATTAGCACTAGATATGACAAGTTTAGTCAGTTAGGAAAGGGACTTCTACTATGTAGGATGATTTAATGTCAAAAAATGTCCAGTACAATTGGAAGACAGGAAAATCAGTTGCTGAATATCCGAATATGTAATACATACACGTATTTTTTTTCCATTTTCGTTGCACAAATATTCATTTTGATCAAACATTCCAAAACATCCAAGGAGAACAAAAGAAATATTAATATCCACCACAAATTTAATTTGTTTTAAATTCCTTTAAATTCCCATTGAGACATAGGGCATCAGGTCACAGGTTTGAAGTTTCAGTAGCAGTGGTATTTATTTTTACAGGATGGGGTTTCTAGCCTCATGCCCAACCTTCCCTTTTTCTTATTACTGGTCTAAAGAGGTAAAGGAGTGCGTCGGCCTGGGATCTAACACAGGACCACATGAGTGGTTGTCACTGTGCCACCGACGCACCCACCACAAATTTAAACTAAGTAAATTAATGAATAATGTATATAACAGCATCCATAAAAGAAACCTTAATAAGATGAATTAATCAACTTAGATTACTCAATCGATTATAATTTTCAACTGGTGATCCTCACAACCTGATATGGTATACTATGAATATATGCAAAGAAGCAGAATGCAGTTCAACAGAACAGTAATCATGAAGAAAAAAACAATCCAGAATATATTTGGATGCAAGATACGAAATACACAACTTTAATATGTACCATTCTTTTTTTTTGCAGTGCATAACCAAAAGCTTTCTTTGGGCCTACAACAGTAGGCGTAAACGTTTTAGAAAATACTATTTAGAAAGATGGGTTTCACTGTAGTGAAGAAAATGCAAAAATAATTAGGTTATGCCTAGAAAATGACAACTATTCATTACAGAAACTACAGATTTGGACTTATGTGAGCTTAAAATATTTTTTCTTTGTAAAGAGGTCGGTGAGTTTATTTTTACTGATATATTTTATGTAAACTAATTTGATATTTACAGAAAATGGAAGCCATTTCAGCTAGACAAGTGATCTTTCATGTATACCATTGAGACAGTTATCTAAAAATCTATACATTAATTTGAACATGGCCTGAAAACATGTTAAGATTTACAACAACCTTCAGATTTCTAGTGGAAATGCTGAATTCAGCATATTAGGAGAATACGATATGCGAGAAAATCGGCATACTTCGAACTTCATCCACAGATGTGACGCATACATTCCACAGCAGTCTGAATATTCTGTAGTGCCTGTGAAAAAAGAAGAAATAATTATTGATGACAGTGCGTCGGTGGCACGGCGGTAGAATGCTCGCCAACCACGCATGTGGTCCAGGATTCTCACCGCTTTACCTCTCTAAACCAGTAATAAGACTGGTAAAGAGGGAAGGTTACGTATGAGGCTAGCAGCCCTATCCCGTAAAAATAAATACCACTGCTACAGAAACTTTTAAGCTCTATGTTCCACGGGGAACATAAAGGAATGAAAAATTTAAAAAGCTCTGAAACATAAGTGTAATTTCAGCAGTAATATTTGGTAACATTTAACGATGATAAAAGAAAATAATCTAGTTATAATCATCTAGACTTTGAAACCTTGGTAAACAACAATTTTTAATTGTGATGGCAGAACATCCACAAGAAAAAATCTAGTTATACAACCACAAAGATATTAAAAGATGCTTGTGAACACGGAGGACTGAGAGAATACGCTCTGATTTCTCAAAATACACACATCTAAGAGGAAATAGATACGAAAAAGTCAAATGCAGAAGATTTGAGAGATTAACTAAACAAAAAAAACTAAACTGATTAACAACTCCATGTTAGATGAACTATGTCTTTTCTCTTTATCATAAAGCGCCTACCAAAAACTCACAAGGCGGTTAAAGCACCAAGGTACAACAATAACAGTAGACGTTCGTATCACTAATAGACACAATAACTACTAGAGACGCTCAAATCCAGTTTAAAAAAGAATAATGAATGGGACATATGTGTACCCCTTATAGTCTGGTGTCTGCAAATTATCCGTGTACAACTTCAATTTGGACAGAGTAAAACTAACCATGGAAGACAGCATATTTTACACAAACGACATATTTTATCAGTCTTGAAAGATATGACTCATATTTCAGAAATTTCTCATACTTTGAAACATGCATTATCGGAATATAGAATTCATGAAGGAATAATAATAATATTAAGACAACCTTGATTTTCCTCGATTCATTTTATTTGAAAGACGAAATTCCTTGAAAATTGTGAGGCGCATGCATGCAGCTTTCACAGTTTTCAAATTATATCAGTGTATGAAAATCCTTTAACAAGGATAGAGATACATGCCCACGTGAAAAAAAGAACAACCTTTTCAATAGTAATTAATCAAACTATCTGACTATGATGTGAATTTCTCTATATGACACTATTTTGACTATTTGGAATCATTAGAATAGAAAAAGCACTCATGTAGTAACGGCCTTCTCGGTATTTTTCAATCTGTGTGTACTCCCTGAAGTAGAACGATGATTCTGTCCAATAGGCATACGAGTTTAATCCATTGAGGATAAAAAATGAAGATATATCTAGTCTTCAAAATGACAATATCCAAGGTGAATGCCCATTTGACCAGCACAAAGCTGCATTTATAGCTATGAAACACTTTAAAGAGGAATAAGGTTGATCAATATACCGTTACCTAGGTAACTATTTGTTTGACTTGATTGAATTCCTTGTGTTTCACCCTTACTTGTCTATCATGCCTCATCTAAGATAATCAATCTTTTCAAGTACTTTTCAATACTTGAAAATTAATCAAATGCTCACTAGAGACTGGCCCTATTCAGGCGGTTAACCTGTGGTTCTAGTGGGATGCCGTGACCAGTACGATACATCAGGTTGAAAATGAAGCAGTAACTCATCGAAGAAGACACTGAGAAGTGGTCACGCTATGTGATGAATTGACAGAAGTTAGATTTCAAGGGCTGGCCATTGGATCAGGTCCCAGTGGCTTAATGGTCGATTTACGGTCTACGCTGATTGAAATACTCGATTATCAAAACCTTCGTAGATTTCACAAGAAAAGGATACATCCAACAATCTTGTAAGACATTAAATTTTTGTATTTCATAGCATAAAAAATAAACAAATGTTTAAATAAAGGTACAAAGTGTATGTAATCAACTTACAAAGATCCAGTTTATCTCCTGTCTTCAATACAGGTACATTGGATTTCAAATCAGGGATATTACAAAACCCGCCTAATCCAGGTATACCAGTTAGATTAGAAAATAAATCGTTTGAAGATATTTTATAGTTATTGTAATAATAATTATGATTATTATCTGGTTGAATGGAAACACCAACATCATCAACATTAACAACATCTTTACAGGATATTTCATTCATTTTAAATACATAATTCATTTTTTCTAACCATATATGTACAATAAGATAAACTGAAATTGCACGTTGGATATGTTCACGTTCATTTTGCGGCAACCGATAAACAAGATCCATATCATTACATGTCAACATTTGTGTCTTACTAAAATTATTGTTACCATATGTACCAGAACTGCTATCAGTATTAGTAGTTTCAGATGTCTCATCTGATTTCGACATGAACGGTGAATATGGTGGTGTTAACAGACGAGCATCTGTGGCTAATGTAGACAATGAAGGGAGTGGTGATTGAACACGACGCAATTCATTTTCAAATACATCCAAGAAAATTGCGTTGATCTAAATATTAGAATGTTTAAAAAATCCGTATAAAGTTACTTCTGTCAACATATTAGGTTTCCATGAATCAAGATTAGAAATATTATTTATTGGATATGAAACAATCCAATGGGAACTGAAGAGTTTGAAAAAAGCATTCTCTTAATCCTACAAAACAAACTAACAACACAAATCTGTGATCTCTTCCATCAATCAGATACTCAGCAACGAAAATTACTACACAGCCTAGTTGATGACTTTGTCGAAAAGACAATATGAACTAGTCGTCCCCATTAAAAATTACATCAAATACTCAAATACACTCGCCATCACGGTGCACTTTGAATTGTTGATATCAGATGGCAGTCAGTAGGAAATACTGGACCTAGGTTTCCTGCTAGTTGACACTCATCAATCAGCAAGGCGTATCTGCAACATTGAAGGAACTGATGTCCCTTCTGAGATCCGAACCCGCATCACCCAGTGTTGCAGTCAGAGACGTTACCACTGAGCTATTCGGGCTCATGAGCCGCTTAGAATGCTGGCCACGTTGCCAACTTGACAGATATAATTCAGTCTGTACCAAAGATAAGGACTAGACACATTACACAAGTTACTGGCTAATGTTCAGTCAAAATTATCCAAAACAGTCCTACAGGAGGTAAATCAAAAGCCCTAGCTCAGTGAGAACGTCTCTGACTGAAGCACTGGGGGACATGGGTTCGAACCTCAGACGGGAAGTGAGTTCCTTCAAGGTTGCAGATACGCCTTAGTGACTGGTGTGTGACAACTAGTACGAAACCTAGGTACAAATCTCCCTGCCGATTGTCTCCAACCATCGAATAGCAATACTTTACCTGTCTATGCTGTCCATACCAAACTTTGCAAGTGATTAACGTGTCTACCAAGTAATCCTTATTATTTGCTCATTTAAATCTGTCTCAATTTCGTCCATTTAACTTAATGGCTTGTTGTCCTTTTTTCTGTCTTATAGCTAACCAAGAGTAGTGAATAAATTCTATTATTTCGAGTTAGTAATTTGTTAATTGGGTAGATTCATATTTTGATTACAATTTCAGTCAGGCTGAAAAAAATTCCCTTTCTAAAGCGAAACAATTGGAACCGTTTTCAATATTTTTGCTTCACTTATGTTAGGAAAAATTAAGTAAAAGGCTAAACTCAAACATTTACGGTATTTAACTTATAAGATCCCACTAAGTATACATGTCACTGCGAGTAATGTTCTTATGGTAATGTAAAAGCTGCACACTTTATGTATTAAGACTAAAGTGATTAATATTGTAAACAGCTAGATAAAGAAGGTTATCCAAGTACCGTTTACTTTACTATCCATTTGGTAGTGAGCTACACTTGTTTTGCCAATGATACAAGCTAGCTACCTATACACTAGAAAGTCGGCCGGAGGGAAGGCGAGTGTTTAGACGACTAATCAGCCATAGTCTCTATAAAACAGCCAGAATAACACACCTTATCCACTCATGAACCTTCAACAGCCCAACTTCTGGCAATAAGACATAACTATTCAAGGGATTAAGAGGAAAATTAGGTGCGCCTTTACTGAAACTAAAAATTAACTTTTTTGTTAAACTCTGTATTACAAATAAATGACTTAGAATAGCATTTTCGAATTATATACATAAGCTAAAATCAAAACTGATTTAAAAAAATTCACAACTGATGCAGTCGAAAATGTTTATTTACACAGTCTGGCATTTTACTTGCCTCCTTCTAAATAAAATGAGATAACTAAATGAACAAAGGTCCTGTTAATTCCACTGGTTTCATTTACTAAATATACAAAAACTTTATAGATAGAACGCCACAGTAATGTACCAGAAGGCATCAACAAAAATCTCATTAATATTTCAACATCTCTCGTCGTCCTCCCCCCCCTTCTTCACTTCTTAATTTATAAAGGTTTGTCAGTGAACGTTAACACTGTCAATACTTCCAACCATCTTCAATACACAGGAGTTCATTTTATCCTCCAATTGTTAGCTTGAAGTAAGTGACGTGAACATTACTGAGACCCAATGACAAATAGTTAAGAAAGACACCCTTGAAATACAACTATTTGAAAAAATGAACATGAAAATTTTAAAAAAAAACATATATAATAGAAAGTCTCTAACACTATAGTTCATGAGACATTTTCTAATAAAGACGCTAAACACAAATGAGTAACTGACACACGGAACAGATAGAGACAGCCACTATAAAAGCATTAAGAATTTTGCTTCGAATGTGTTACTTTACTATTTTAGCATTTTTATCAATCAAAAAAGCGAGACATTTTAGTATGCAACAAAGTTAAATATACCTCAAAATAACTTCTCAATGCAAGCATAGCTTCTTCACGAGCGTTAATCAATTCGGCAAAATGTTGATCAGATAACCGACAACCCATTATGGGACTATACACTAAATCCGTTAACAAACGAATAGCCATATGTACAGTGATTAAACGGATTTGACTTTCTGTATTGATTTTTTGTTTTGTTTAAAAAGAAACCAAAAAACAAACGAAACTGTTATTAAATCTTAAACATGATGACTACAGATACACAGAAATAACCCTAAGATGATACAAGTACATTACAATGAAAGAACACAGAAATCAAGTTTTCATGTGGACGTGTGATACAGACAACTTTTTTCCCAACGGAATATTATTCTCACCTATTCCCACAGTTCAATACTGCATTAGCAACAGAATACGATATATCTATTTCAACATTCAATTTGATGTTAGAGTTAGAGTACCGTTCCCACAGTTTTAATACGGCATTAGCAACAGAAAACCATATATGTATTGGGAACATTCTACATCATGCCGTTAAATGTAAACCAAAATCACATGCTTAATAACAGGTTAGAGAATGTAAAGTGTATGGATATAAATGTCTGTTTGACCACTTGAAAATATACCTTGGCTTCCGTGTCTTGCCTTCTGCTGTTACACTATTATTTAGCATAGCGGTAGACTACTGAGGTAAAATGAAACTAGTGACTAACGTATGCCAGTTTACGCCGTCTCTGGCGTAGACGTGATATCCCGCTCTCTATCGACCAAAGTGGAGGGAAGTACTGCTCAGCAGCCCGCTCCATCCCCATTTATGGCTGCTAGTGAGACCTGGCCATTGAGAGTCGAAGACATGAAAAGCCTGGCCGGCTAGCTGTCTTTGACCACAGGTGCCTGCGCTCTATCTTCCATGTGAAGTGGTATAATAAGGTGAGCAATGTTGAGGTGAGGCATCGGTCGAGTGCTAGGTAAGGAGGGGAAATCAATAAACAAGACTGTGAAGCTACATCGATTGAGATGGTTAGGACATGTATTACATACATATGCCTAGACATCGCCTTACTTGATAATGGGCAATGCTGGTTGACATAGGGTCAGGCTGGAAAAGAGCCTGTGGTGGTCAAACAAAAACCTGTCTTCATCAGTCTATGAAATCTACAACAGTTAGTTTAAGCCAGTCACGTAGGAAGGTGAAGACTTCCTGGTTGGGGTCCTCGGACGATAAAAACCGATGGTTGGGAACAATTGGTGATATGGCTCAAATTCGTTCTCAATACATAGCGCAGATGCATCCACTCCATGTGACTTATGATTTCCAATGACGCTATATTGTTCTTCGTTATTACTATTCGTTTGTCTCACACCTCTGTTTACTGTCTCTATTTTGGATTTCGTTTTACTCTCTTCTGTTGCTTTGTGTGCTACAAGGAGGGAGTGTGGCGACTTGAACTGCTGCACATCGGTGCGAAGTTCTATGTTGAAACCAGTTAGTCAGTCAATCCACTTCGTTGGATGAGTTAAAAGCATCAATTGCTCTGGTCAAACTGATTGTAGGGGATCACAACGTAAAATAAGCGACTTAACATGACGCTAAGAGCATATAGCTTCATATTATCTGTAAAAATCAGTGCTTCAATAATACTTTTAATGACTTTTCAAACAAGTTAATAGATAATATCGGTGGCCTGCTTGAATTTTGGGCTACCAAAAAATACCATTTTCCATCTACTTACATTTTGCCCTGATTTGCTCCGATATTTTTGTTCTTATCAATCACAGATGTATTCAAATCGTATTATTTATAATCGCGTATTTTTAAAAGGGTGTTGAGTCATCCTCAAAAACTGAGGAATAAACCTCGTGATGGTTGAACGAATGCATTAAAACGTACATAAATTACTCATATGAGTGTCCCCAAAGCTGTTACTACTAACTGCAATTCTTTACCTAACAACGCAGACCATCTCCAACCCCTATTATCCTCAAATATGTACGGAAATGCTAGTGTTTTAGCTATACAAAAGACTTGGTTCCGCCAGAAATATGACGACAATCTAATTTCCCTAAATGGATACGAAAACTTCCGTCAGGAGAGACACAGTTCAAATAAAAAGCATTTTGGAAGAGTAGCCAGTTTTATTATTACAAAAAGGGTCTACTCCTAATCATGTATGTTTTAAGTTTTCCAATGCCAATATAAACTGTATCACTATTAGGTGCCGTCCAAAGCACTTAAGTAAATACTCCCGATGATGCACCATGCATTTTGCTTCAAAAGTGTACTGGTATTTTGTATCATACTCTTACTCAAATCTTTGATGCGTCATTTCACAGGAATACAGTACCTGTTGCCTGGAAAGAAATAAAGGTAGTGCCTGAACCAAAGTCATCTTCTGGATCAGGCCCAAAGTTTAGGCTAATCGCCATCAAGTCTCCATTTTTGAAAACTGTGGAGACACTTATATGCATGTTCTTAAACATTCTTTGAAATCTTTTAATGACCCAAAGCAGTTTGCTTATAAATGAAGAAGAAGCACATTAGACACTGCCGTTTTTTCGAGCCTTTTTATAGACTACACTGCTGCTTTTGATTCTATTCCTAAGGTACTTTTACTAATCAAGCTGACTTCAGCAGACACTAAGTCCTGAGGTGGTTGTCTTCTGATTTTTTGGGTAGAAAACATACTGTTTTGAGTAGAAAACGCTCCACTTCGTTGCAAACGGAAACTGGTGTAGATCAAGGCGCTGGCTGTACTCTCTGCATTCCTCTTTTCTTTCTTATTGCATGACCTATCATATTCTACTAAAGCTAACTCCATTAAATATGCCAATGATCTAACCATTTCTATCCCAATGGTTTCTGCTTTGGCTTGTTCCTATATAAATATATTCTTGTCTGGAGTTAACAATTGATTTCACCTAAATGGTTTGAAAATGAACCCATCTAAATGTTATATATTGCTGATTTTAGTTTCAAATGCGAATAAGACTTGAGTGAATTCATACAGTCCCACGATTCCTGTAATATTGACGGCACTGTGATTGGGAATAAATCGAATATCTTTCATCTCGATATCAGTTTCTCTTCGAATCTCTGTTGTTCGTCTTACAACCCGTTGATTTCTAAGGAAATGTTTCTTTTGACTTTCTGACATAACTCAAAATCTTCTCTTACAATTTATTAATTCATGTATTCTGCCCATTTTCCTTTATTGTTCGCCCTACTTATTCTTCCCTGAACTTCTCAAAAAAGACTATGTCATATTACGTAGAACACTAAAGACTGTAAGTAGGGTTAGTGGTGTGTCTTGGACTCAGTTAACTGACAGTATTGTCAACAGGCACTTTAATGCTTGCAAGCATTTGGCTAGTGTCATCTTGTCAGATACTAAAAATCCCCTTTATTCTCAACTTTCCCCTTGTACATCTTCGGGTAAAGCCAGAAAAAACTTCATAAGAATTTACATTCGTATAACTAAATATACCAGCTCTACCATACCATATTTAGCACGGCTTTTGTGTGAAGAGATAGACAGATGTCAGAAAAGAACTGATAAAATTCTTAGATCAGTAAGTGAACTGCAGAGTATAAGCAAAGATTATTATTATCTAACTATACTTCGTTATGTTTCCACCAACATTCTATCTATATAAGTCTCATTATTGATGAAATTATTATTACCATTTTAAATTTTATATATGTACATATTTATAAAAAGGAACTAAATTGTTGCTATAAATATATAATTGCTGAAAATTCCATTCCGTATAATTATCATTGTTTAGAACAAAGTGATTATTATTATTATTACGTTGTTTTTTACGACTTTGCTGTTATGCAGAATTCTCATAAATCTTTGTGGCAGAAATACATAAGCGTACAACATTTATAAGAGATTTAGACTGTAAAAAAAATATTTTACTGACTGCTAATGAATGCAGTAAAGATATACACCTTCTTTATGTTAAACAACAGGTATACAGTCGAAGAAAGTATGAGAAGTAGTTACGCCATCCGAATAATAATACAAAGTGAATATTATCCAACGAGATGCACAATAAATGAAAATGGAGAATTCAAATGCTTACCAGTTTTGCATGAATCTCCAATCAACTCGATTAGCTTTGTAACAAGTGTATGGTTATATGACTGTTTCTAACACAATAATGACACAGTGATTAAAAAAAATAAGAAGAGAGAAAGATGAAACAGAATATACATCAGTAATCTTGTATATTTTAAACAAATCCTTGAAGAAAATGGCATATGAACTGGTTTTGTATTTTAAAAAGTCAAAATAGGGTATATGCCATTCGCGTTTACAATATATTACTTCTCATACAAGTAAACGGTAGCTTTAAGGATTGATATCACAGTTTTTAGTTTTGTTAGAAAGTTAGATGCAAATCTGACTAGGTAATTAAAAATTGAAATAAAGACTAAGACATGATGTGATGTGATAGACGAAATTTTTAACCCAGTTGATGAAACATAGGAATCGCAATTTCGCAACCTAACTAAACAATTCACTCTCATTCATAAACACAACAACATATTTAAAAATATCACAATACAGGGATAAACTAAAGCCTCAGTGTGTGATTTATTTTTTCTTAAATAGATGCACTTTTTTCAGAAAGGTTTCCATGTAGGTGTTCCTTGTTACTTTGTACTTTGATGTCCCCACATAAATGTTCCGATGAGGCCTGCGGGTGAGCAGTCTCTCGTGTGCTCCGAGAAATGATCTCATGTAGAAACATGCTCACAGTCCTCACGCGACGGGAGGAGGAATTCCTACAGAAGTGATAGTGTGAATGTGAATGTTCGGTGCCCACCACCAGACTGGTGGACATGGAGGTTTGAAAATCCTGATTTCGAACCTATAATGAATATGGGCTCCAGAATCGCAAAAAGACGAAAGGTGTAAAAAAGTGTTTTAGTCACCGACAACCATTTGAACGCAACTCCTGTTTCTGCTACCCTGTGGATCAAACTTCAAGTCATAGACCCTATCACTGATAAGTTACAACAACCACCTGCTTCGGTTCGGGTGGCAGGGAACTATCTTAGCCATCAACACAATATATGAAACGACAAATCAACAGAAAACTCGATACATCTGCACACTCTCATAAACCGCATCACCAATACTATAATCGGTCATCTGATCCATTGATATTACATTTTTATTGCCATGTATTTTCATCATTTTCACATTCTTTTATTATCTTCAGTCTTGTCACCCATTTGTTACTGCTTGAAATCTCAATTTATCTCCACTGTCTAAAGTCGCTAGATAGTCACCTTCAGAAAGTTGACCTCCATTATGATATTTAACACGCATATTTGAAAACGTGTTGCCTTTAGGTTTGTGACACACTAACGCGAATCTGCAACACAAATATCTAACCAGAACCCTGGAAAGCATCCCAACGTTCTGTATACAAGACTCCAGTAAAGTGCTTCGGATGCTTTCTCCATCTGCACTCCACAAGTGTGTTTCATGGGCGCTTGTCAAAGGACCCTTTGACAGTGGTGTCAGCCATTTCTGGTGTCTGTATTTCAATAAACTCTACAACCAAAATCTCATTATTTGACTGGGCCCCTATTAATAGTCGTTTATGTACTATCAGGTTACGGTGAGAATCACTCGGAAAGAGAAACTTTATCTTTTCCTCGTTTTTGCCTACGCAACACCACATTGCAGTCTGGATGCAACTAAGGATCAGTTCTACCATTACATGGCTGCTTTCCTCAAACATGTTCGTTCGACAGATACCGTGGCCGTACCTAGACACTTAACTGCACACATCAAGCGTTAAGGCTGAAAGAAGAGTTGTTGATGTGGACTGCATAGTTGCAGGTCACGTAATGGGGACCGTCTTCTAAACGTTGCGAAGATCTCTACCTATTTCCGACAAACACCAACTCCAGTCACAGTCATCGCCGTAAGGTGCCTGACACTTAAGTCTGGATTGGAATAAGTCATACTGATATGAGTGAGTGTCCCAGCAGAGCGGAATGCAGCCACCATTGTGTTTATCATCAAAAAGGCCTAGGCAGTGCAGAAGAAACAACCATTGAGACACTAGTCTGTTACCAGTTACTTTTAATATACTGGCTATCTTGATACACAAGTTTTTTAAAACGCGTGCGAAACTTATTCGCGGAGAGAAGGTCGGGTATTATTTAAGTCATGGGTGCGCTGGTCAAGTGTTATTTCGTTCTCAGTTACCAGAACACTTTCGCAAGCCAACAATACCTATATTTCTTCATATCAAGGTTGATTTCAGTTCGCTGAACAGGACTGCTCTTTGGACTTATCTGTACAAGAGAGGTGTTAATTAGACCTTCGTAAACATCCTGAAGGTCCTATACGAAAACACCTGAGTTAGAGTAAACGCATGCAACTTGCTATCACCACTAATCTGCGACAGCAGTAGCTTTTTACGGAACTGCCTAATATCATTATTTCTTTTTGAATTTGCCGTCGATAATATTCTGCATATCACATTGAAAGTTGTGTATGGTAGTAGTATGGATTTGTTGTTCGGAGAAAGACACACACAAACCACCCAAATCGAACTTTATCAGATGGAGATCAGTATCTGTGTGATACGTACTTTGCTTCGGCTAACTTAAACGTATTGTTACAACACTGGCACCTGGACACACACTATCAAGGAAACCGTTAGTGATAGACGATTATTATTATTATTGTACTATTAATATTATAACAAATTCTTCGCATTTCAAGTAGGACATAGGGCTTCAGCAGCACATGTCCATTCTACTTAATTCAAAACTATAGCTACCAGAATACGACTGGTTCCTAAACGAAAAGTGAAAAATATAAACAGTGTGCTGCATCTTAAAATTGAGAGACTCAATCCTACAGTCAGAATAAAAAGATAAACTAACTAGTGTTGCTTTGAGTGATGAAAGAGGCATGGAAAACACAGACAAACATTGTCACACATCAACTGACTATTATTCATTTCGCTGAATGTATAATAAACAGTATCAAATAAATCTAAAAGAATTGTGAACAACTAACGCAAAATATATAAGAATCAAACTACTTCTAATCTGCTTCCATTCTCGTTAAAAATAACTAATTAGTCTAATTATGCATACATAATAATATTATTAATAATACATAGACTTACAACATCAGGACCATTCAACTGAGCAAGTTCCAAAGTGGGTAAATCAATACCTGGATGTCGGAGGGGGAGGGGGGCAAACAATCATATATAATCATATTATAAATGTGTATACACTGACAAAAAAAAAGAAAAGTAAGTAGTTCGTCAAAAATAAATAACAATCTTAATTGATTCACAAGTATAAACTAGTAAGAATAATAAGGAGCAACAGTAAAACGCCAAACGAAAAGCAATCGTTTCTGTATTGATTTATTAACAGTCTTTTTCTAGATGAATACTAAAGTATAACGACAGTATAACCAATAATTCTTCTTTAGAAAAAGTACAGCACTCACACTCACGATTTCTGTACTTTAAACAGTGTAATGACTAAAGTTATAAAGATAAAAAAAGGAATGATAGTGACTAATTTAGTAGGCTTTATTCTCAATGTGCGAACCAACCAAGAACCGATTGTGAAACAAATAGGCAGGAAGAAATGCAGATGGATTGGTCATACTTTGAGGAAACCATCAAGTGACATCACTAGACAAGCCATTGCTCGAGTGGAACGCGAAAAGGAAGTGGCAAGTTGGTCATCCAAGGGTGACTTGGAGGAGATCATGTGAAGCGGAGATGAAAGCATGTGGGCAGACATGGAACCAGGTGAAAACTCTAGCAGAGAACCAAACGCAATGGAGACGTGGGGCTGAAGCCCTATGTTCTTCTAGGAATCAAAGGAAATAATAATAATAATCCTCAATGTGAAGATTTTTTTCGTTTGATGAAACGAGTATGAAACGTTCATCAAATGAAGTCGTGAAATCAAATTACAGAATCTGAAATATATTTACACGAAAGATAGATAAAGATCACGAAGAAAAAAAGTGAAAAATTACTACGACATGGAAACATTTTCAGAGAAAACAACTAGGTGTAAATTCAATACAATACACGATGACGTTGAGGAAACTTTTACTGCAACCACTTACAATACAATCATTTTTTTAAAACATTATTCATAAACTGTTCAATGCACAAAATAGCATTCACTTTCCAATAGAGAAAAGAAGCTTGCCCTAGAATTACTGAGAACATAGACTAAAAATTTGACAAATCTTTTCTTGCATAAGGAACTAGCTTGTTCATTCATCTTCGTCGACACTATACTACTCAATTTATCGGCTCACAATAAAGGTTATAGTGGTGAAGTTAACAAAAAGCTAGATGATCATTCGACAACTATTTCCCTATGCGGAGAAGAATAACCTAATGTTTTCACTTACTAAGCCGCAATAGTTATCAAATGATGAAGGTTCGTTCTTCATTGAAATCGTCACTTTGTAGTCACATTTCAAATGCACACACACAAACAAACAAACAAACATACAAATAATACATAGAACAGTACATATTTCATGCATAAAAATGACTACCCAACTGATCCAGTGTATATTTTTTCAAATATTAAGAAAAAATATTTCAGAATCAAATTGAACCACAGGGATAACCTGTACCTACTTAACTACGTCACAGCTAATATTACAAAAAAAACCACACGCAGATTCACTGGAAAAATTATTACAGACAAGACCATTCACCAATTGTATTTATCAGTATTGACAAAAGGTGAAAGACTTAGAAACAAGTGGATAGATTTGCATCATATGACATTTTGTATCACCTAATTACATATATGCACAAACACAAACGCACACATTCAATCAACAGAAAAGCGTTTAACAGTCAGACAGAAAAATTCTATTTTAAAAAATACTGCGGTTCTATTTTTTTTCAATCTCATCCTTGCATAACGTTTACAAGTTATGCGCAAACACGTATTACCAGGCAAGACTTTATATAAATGTATCAGGCAACCAGTTTTTTCATATTGGATCGTGAAGAAAAAAATATTACACCCCGAGGTAGATTTTGAAGTGATCAGTCTCCAACTTTGCTTGGAGAAATGCAGTGACGTTGTTTGTAGTTTTCCTTTCAGTTTTTGAGTGCTGAACTTGGATTGTGGTCTGTCTTCAGCTTCTTTAAAGGCTTACACCTTAACCTTGAATGTTTTTTTTTGCACTAGATAACAATTTGAACCCACATCTTCCCCTCTTCTCGACTCTGTGTGTAGTCAGGCTTCGTCTCCGCTTTCTTGAGAATGAGTTGAAATGTTTTTGTTTTTCGGTATATACATGTAGCGAAATCTATGTCGCTTTGTGTACATCCTAGCGTTTATACCCATCGCCTGCAATCACCAAGTCGTTGATGGCAAAGGAATATTCGAAGAGTTCACCCTTCTTATTTAGTTCGCCGAGATCCTCTCGATACATAAATTGTTCGTTTCCTGTGTTATTTGCAGTCAGTTGGTCTATCATTCATGTCACTCATTAGGATTTTGACGTTTCCATTTGGGGTCTGGTCCATTATTCTTTGCAACACAAGATATTTTCAAATTTATTTTTCGCAATTCCCTTTGATTATGCTGGGCTGAAATGTTCGGTCTCTGTTTATATATCAGCTCCTAGTATGATGTCTGGGGATTAACATGTTATTTTAGTGAGTAGTGGTCAACAGTAGCATCCTGGATGTGCATTCGATCCTATTTGCGACTCTTCAGTTGATGTTTGAAACGATGGGTGCTGGGCTCGAATCTCAGTGGGAACACCATCACTGTAGGTACAACCAGCTTATGACTACCAAATGGGACGGAATGTGCATTCTGGATTCCACTTGCTAGTTAACATCCACCAAAAAATTGCATTCTTTACTTTACTAAGAGCAATAAAATAATGCTCTTTATTTTTTAAAAAGCTGTAGTTTCCTAAAACTACAAAAAGCCGTTGTTTTTGTAAGTGTAGCAGGCATATGCTTTATTACCCAACAGAAAATATACCACAGCCTAGTAGTCCTAAGAGGATGTGTGCTCCAATATACTGAGATTTTGACTTCCAAATATAAAAGGTCTAGAGTTTAGAATTCATTTCATTTAGGCCGGACAAAGTAATCCTGGAAATGAATTGTGGTTCACATTGCATAATGCACAAAATGGATTGGCAATACGCAACTGAAATGTACTGTATTCTTCTCAAGTACTAAGCCTACACGCGCTGTCTATTATCCGATTCTGTCACTAGCTAGCTTGGTGTGAAAAATAAGTCACTAGTCAATACACTCAACCCAGGTTCCTTCATTTTTATATGTATATTTACGATACATATGTTGTTCATTCTGATTGGAAAAAATTTGGGGAAGTAGGTGAAGACTATCCTAGGCTAGACAATGGTAAGCAAATTTTAATTGCATTCATTACACTTTCGTTCTCCTGCTACTCGAACATTTTAAGACAGATATTATCATACAGTATTTAAGTACAAATTTAAAAAACGCAGAAGAAATTCCCTTAACCCTATCAGAAATAGAACGAAGGAACTCGGATAGTTTAATTGAAGGCGAACCAGAAACTGAAAACGTGATGCTTGTAATCGATCTATCTGTAATTAGCTGGTTAGGTGAAATCGGTAGGAAGCTTTGAACCTACGTTTCGTGCTTTATTGGCGCTAGTCAGTAGGACGTATCTGCATTCTTGAAGGGACTTATGTCCTACAAGAGATTCGAACCAAGGTCACCCAGGGTCAGAGCTATTCGAGCTGGCGATTGACCACCTCCTGTAGGACTGTAATGGGTACTTTGATCAATCTATCCATCTGTCATCAGTGAACATAAACCAGGATGCAACCTGCTCACATCAACAACACTCAACTAATCAGGTTATGTGAGTCTTAACTGAAGTGGACAACAGAAGAACGTTACACGAAAATCAACGCACAATAACTTGGATTCTAAAACAGTATCCATTTTATGAAATATACAGAACTGATATCACTAATGAAATCTTATATGATTATTACTTTCACGTGTTCACTGATTTACTTCACATCACAATTTCCATCATATGAACAAAACCATCATGTACTGAAAGCAAAAGATGAAGCCTTTAAGGAAAGTAATGCAGCATACATGTATCGTGTGTAAATGTTAAATAGTAGACTCTTAAATTTCTAATCCCCCAGGAATTAATTTTGATCAGAACAAAACTGAACGACTGAAACAACGTGAACATTAGAATATTAGTTTTGTTCTACTCATTCAACTTTGTATTAGTGCATAAGACAAATAAAAATAGTCAATGACTTATTTTGAGAAAAAAAAAGAAAAAAAGGAAAAAATGATTGAGAATAATTAAGTATGGGATGACAGGATTGGCAAATTATTCAATGAAAGTGCATACACAATGGTAGAACACTTCATTATTAAAGCGACAACTTATTATTTATTACAGTTTGAACTAACAACTAACGAGACTTGACAGGTCTATGCTATATGTTCACTTGTCTACAGTGACATATATTTCACCTTACCCTCATTAGAACAATGAAGGCCAAAAAGTAGTAATTACGTGTAAAAACTATTTCTCTGTCAGGGAGCGAAAATTCAACCTTACGTCTATTGGCGAGAATTCATTGACCACTCAACAACCTTTCAAATTACTACTTGCTGGATTTGTTATCCGTCAAATATTCCATATTTAAACTACGTAGGCCATATTTTTGTACATAAATGATAACTTGTTAACTATATATATATATATATATATATATATATATATATATATATAATTCTTACCTTCGTTAGATCTCATAGCAATTAAAAGGAGAATAGAAAATAAAGCATCTTGATCTGAACCAGAACCAACTTCCAATGAACGAAATAAGGATCTAAGAAAGACACGGCCAGAGAGATTCGAAAGTTCTGGTTCAATTGATTTGTCGGTTTGATCGCCTGACTGTGAATCTGCCGGTATGTCATTTGATAAATCATCCACTTTAGGGGAAGTTTTATTGACAGAAGATACATCTGAAACAAAAATATGTTCAACAATAAGTTGTAAGTATCATTAAAAATAAAATAAAAATCCGAACTAAAAGCTATTCCTAGTTATATTTGATGGAAAAAAGTACTGAAAAAGTAAAACTATTCGATTCCAAAATACACTGAAAATGTAGCCAGTAAAAGTTGTCTGATGTAAAATAATCCGATTAAGCTTTAAATTCACCATAGTTGTTCGTCAGTGAAGCGAATCTGTAGGCGCACAAAAATCAATACAGCAAACAGAATTTATTCTTTTACGTCGGTGATGATATATAGGAAACTGTGCCAATAATGAAAGTGAATGGGAAGTTTCTACTTTCCGGCTGCCAATACCGTAGTGCTTGATCCCATTTTGAATTACTTCAAAGGGTAACAGCACTAAATTTCCTGACCACAGAACCCAAGAAACAACTGCTTGAAACCGGTCACATAGGCAATGTATGGATATGGGGTTTTGAAATTGAGTCAGTATTGATCTTAGCTCCGGCTACGAACTGTCATAGGGTAAACTAGGATGTACTTTATATAACCACTTTGTTAAAACACAATTAATGTGACTTAAGAATTGGTTTAGTCATGTTTCAAGTGGAAAACCAGCAACTCACTAAGATGCGACAGTTAAGTTTTTTGTACTGCTAATCAAAATAATATCAACAGTCAAAACAGTGTCACAGATTTTGGCTGAAGTATCAATGCCATTTTATCTAATAGTAGCATAAAGTATAAAGAGACAAGTAAGTGAACTGTAAGATTACATTTTCAGTAGGAAGAATGTACCTATACACGTACATAAAGAGATATAACTCATCTTTTTATGAAACTATACATTCTTTAGAATAACTTTAATCACACATTAAAATCAAAAATACAGAATGCAAATATTTTTGGAAAAACTTCTGCTACTTAACTATATGCATAGTAGATCAGATGACGAAGGTAAACTAATCACAATACAAGTAAAGAAGAGTAAACAGCAAACCAATCAATTTAACACGTGATTATGTTAGCAACCTGCAAAACTAGCACGATTTAGTGATAGTAGACATATTATTTTCACTGACAAAAGTATTTGAAGTATAATGAAATGAGAACAGTTTTTAGTAGAAAAATTCTAGTCACGATGATGTTCAAGTTTTCCGAGAAAATTATTTTTGTTGGTTGTATTTGAATAGAGTGAGGAAAGGCAATCTGATTTCGATGATAAAGAAGGGATATCTGTTTGACACAATAAAGAATTATAACACACACACACAAACTGAAGGAGAAATCTAATCCCCTTGAGAATAACCGTAAACTTGGACACCTGGCACAAAACAAACTGGTATAACTTTGTCAACTAATCTTAGTGTTTCTGTTCATTGGAAATATTATTTAACCGTCTAACATCCTATTGATTTTATTTGATGATGAATATCTGCCTCTGTAGCACAGAGGTAGAATGCCCACCGACCACGAATGTGATCCGGGAATCGATCCCGGCCGACTCACTCCTTTACCTCTCTAAACCACTAATACGACACGTAAAGACGGAAGGTTGGGCGTGAGGCTAGCAACCGCATCCACATAAAAATAAATACCACTGCTACAAAAACATTTAATCTCTAGCATGAAGTTCTATGTTCCATGGGAAACATAAAAGAATAGAAAATAATTAACTTGAATTCAGACTTTCCCTTCTAAAATCCAGATAAGGAATATCTAAAGTCCTAGGCTCAGTAATATTACGCAGACTAAGTGGTGCTCTGGAGGCACAAACACAAGAGAACCAGGCAGGCCTTAGAACAAGAAGAGGGTGTATTGACCATATCTTCACCCTTTGACAGATTCTGAAACATAGGGATTCTTATCGGCGCCAAACACTAATCATATTTCTTGACCTAAAGGCGGAATTCGATTCTGTCGAAAGAGAGGTACTCTGGCGATGCTTGGCCGTAAAGTGAATGACGAGAAAATATATTGCACACTGATTAAGGCACTCTACTCGAACTCGTGCAGCCAGTCAGGCGAAAGCCTCCGTATAGTCGTCATCTGAAGTGGTGACGACTAGTGGTGTTCGTCCGGGATGCCCATTACCCCCATTTCTATTCAATTTCATCATAGATGTACTAATGGACTTAACCCTAACTCTCTTCAGAGACACAGGGATTGACTTATCATCAGAGAATAATCTCGTTGACTTAGAATATGCAGATGATATAGTCCTGACTCCTAGGTGAGGACGCTGACAAAATCCATCAGAGTCTTCTGAACACATTGAGCTGTGCAGCAATCTACGAATGTTTGGCATGCGTTTCGCTCGTGCTGTCAAATGCAAGATGATGTTACAGGACTGGACTACACCGACTCCTAGTTTAGAAATAGGGAGTGAAGTGGTAGAGCACGATGACCAATTCACTTATTTGAGAAGTTGCATTAAACCCAACGGGTTGGTCACTGACGAAATCTCAGAACGGATACAAAGGGCTAGCTTCTCATATGCCAGTTTACGCCGTCTCTGGCGTAGACGTGATATCCCGCTCTCTATCGACCAAAGTGGAGGGAAGTACTGCTCAGCAGCCCGCTCCATCCCCATTTATGGCTGCTAGTGAGACCTGGCCATTGAGAGTCGAAGACATGAAAAGCCTGGCCGGCTAGCTGTCTTTGACCACAGGTGCCTGCGCTCTATCTTCCATGTGAAGTGGTATAATAAGGTGATCAATATTGAGGTGAGGCATCGGTCGAGTGCTAGGTAAGGAGGGGAAATCAATAAACAAGACTGTGAAGCTACATCGATTGAGATGGTTAGGACATGTATTACATACATATGCCTAGACATCGCCTTACTTGATAATGGGCAATGCTGGTTGACATAGGGTCAGGCTGGAAAAAAGCCTGTGGTGGTCAAACAAAAACATGTCTTCATCAGTCAATGAAATATACGACAGTTAGTTTAAGCCAGTCACGTAGGAAGGTGAAGACTTTCTGGTTGGGGTCCTCGGGACGGTAAAAACCGATGGTTAGAAACAATTGGTGATATGGCTCAAAATCGTTCTCAATACATAGCGCAGATGCATCCACTCCATGTGACTTATGATTTCCAATGAAACTGTTTTGTTCTTCGTTATTACTATTCCTTTGTCTCACACCTCTGTTTACTGTCTCTATTTTGGATTTCGTTTTACTTTCTTCTGTTGCTTTGTGTGCTACAAGGAGGGAGTGTGGCGACTTGAACTTCCGCACATAAGTGCAAAGTTTTATGTCGAAAACAGACGGACAGACAGAAAGACGGTGAGTAATTATTTGATTAAGCTACTCAGACGAGTGAACGCCTACAGAACTCTGAATTGGCGAGAGGAAGATGGAAGTTGGTTAGCTGTAATATCTCAGCCTCTACACCATTAGATGATACAAGAATGTCACCAGCTAGCGCATACATGAGTATCCAGGACAACCGACCTCTTGAGACAAAGCATGCACTGGCCAGATATGAGAGATGTGGCGAAATATGTACTTGGACACCCGCAGTGCCAATTGATGAAAGGAGATCGGTGCATACGACCACCTCTGCAGCCAATGCCAGTTACGGCAGTAGGTAACTTGTGGCTCGTAGTTGTGATGGGTCCGTTTCCGCAGACAACCAGTGGCAGTCATTACGACTTATGATGATGGAAGATGCTAATTGATGGGTAGACGCCGTTGCGATCCCTGATCAACGCGCGAAAACCATGACTGATGCAGTAGTTAGACACATCATTACAGAACATGGTGTACCAAAGACGATATTGACAGATCAAGACCGTTGTTTTGGAAGCGAAGAATTCACTTCCCGTTTGCAACATTTGGTCATCAAGAGGATCAGAACAACACCATATCATCCTCAAATGAATGGTCTGACAAAGAGAAATAACCGTACACTGAAGGAATCGCTGGCTTTAAAGGGAGGTAACTGGGAGACAGAGCTTTCATTGATTCTACTAGCATATTGTGCGTCCACCCAGGAAACAATATAGAAGTCACCATGATAGGATCCCACATATTTTGGTATTGACTGTTTAATCTTGCATATATGGTATATTATCATTCTCACACATTTTGGTAGTGACTGTTAATCTTGTATATATGGTATATTATCATTCCCACACATTTTGTTATTGACTGTCAACTCGCACATATGGTATATTATCATCTCTCACGCACTTTGTTATTGGCTATTAAGATAAATTATTTCAAATGCTGTTAGCTGTCCATATTGTTGTAAAATGTATAAATACCATGGCTTTCTTTATCGTTGTTGCACTTCAATACACAGTCACAGTCCAGCCTTTGTCTTTTGATATTTGCGTGCTTTACTAAGTCGGAAGGTACGACGAGCAGATAGACAGATTAGTTCAGGCGCAGACAGAATAAGGTGAAAACGTCTTCATTCAATTCCCTACAGTTATAACAAATTGGCGACGGGGTTTTACCTTAATTCAGTGCAGTTATAACAAATTGGCGACGGGGTTTACTTAATTCATTGCAGTTATAGCAAGCAAACGACGACAGTTTTTATTCTGTTCAGCGCAACTATATAACATTTTTGACTGTGTTAATTACAACCCAATTACAATGTCTATCTCTCTGGACGATCTCAAATCTATCTTGCAGCAGCAGCAAGTTCAGAATGAAGCAGCTCAACTAAAATTAATCGAAGCTCTCACTCAGAAGCTGTCCATTCAAGTTCCATCAACATCTCATTCTGACAAATATGAAAGCATCTCAAATTCTATCAGTGAGTTCAACTACGACCCAATATCTGGTCTCGTATTTGATGCATGGTTCAATCGTTACGAAGACGTTTTCCGTATTGAATGCTACATGTTTGATGATGCTGCCAAAGTCCGATTGTTACTAAGAAAACTTGGTACTGTTGAGCACAACAGATATGTTAACTTCATTCTGCCCAAGAACCCACGTGAGTTATCATTCGATGAGACAGTCACCGTTTTATCACAAATCTTTGGTGA